TAATGTTGCCCAAGGAGTCAATAATGACACATATAATTTTAATTACCACTAAAAATTGAATGTTTTAAGGATTCAATCATGGCTATCGTCAAATTCTTTAATTGGATTCCACTATGGATGATATCTACATCATTCTTACGATTAAATAATATATATAGAGAATGTGAAAAATAGTTGGAAGCGCTTAAAATCTACTCATTTAAAAAATATAGTTGTGCATAAAAAATCTCTAATGTGCAACTAAAAAAGACGTAAAATACTCTTATTTAGTAGGATATTGAGGGTCCAGAACCACAACCTGACAAAAACATCATAGTCTTAGTTTAAAAGTTGACTCAAGTCCGAGTTCTACTCCTATCTCCATTAATCCTCAGAAAGACTAATGGGTATGATGGAAATGATTAAGATGGAAGCATGACCAACTAGTGTGAGACAATACTAACCTATTTTGAAAGCAAATTTTTTGCCTTAATAATCTTAATATATGAAAAGTTATTTTTCATAAAATATGTGAAGGATCTACATGTCCTCCAACAAGAATTAAAACTCATCATTGTCGATAGTATTACAAAGGCCAACTCCAAAGTCATTAATATTGAAAAACAAGTTCAGGCAAAGTCTAGATCTAAAAGAAGCTAAGCTAAAAAGACGAAGACAACGTGTTAAACGGAGATCAAAAGAATGATAGTCACTCATATTGTTCCCACTATGAATGAAAAGACAAGGGATATTGATGAAATCTCTAACCAAAATAGTGTGCTAAAAATGATGCAAGAACCACAGGCAAGCCATAATAGCTATTATACGGAAAGTAATTGTGATTAGAATATAAAGCCTATGCCTAAAAAATTGCTTTGATGGTCAAAACAAAAGATCTCATGTCCATGCAGAATTCTTCCAACTGAACATGCCAGTCAAGCTGGCAGTGGCGCCAGCAATTTTTTACCTTAGATGCCAAAAGAAACTAATCTCAGAAGCTATGAGGAGGAAGCTTGGACTAAAGACTATCTTATTTCCCAAACACTGCCTCCTATGTTGGATCAACTAATGAGTGGAATACCGTTTTCCATTGCAAAGTATCATTAGAAGTATGTCACATTATTCTAGATGACTTCTACTTAAAAGAAAAGAAGAGCAATCTACCACGAAGATCATCGAAATATTGACTTGTAAAAAACGTGAGAGAATTTAACTTAAAAGTACCCATGTATATGCCAAAAATTTATTTAGTATTTGTTCAAATTTTGTACAACTTATCTTACGAGATAAGATCATTATGCAAATTCCATCCTCTTATGCTTTAGTCTAATAAAGTCCAAAATGCTAGAAAATTTTTTAGAGCTATTAAAAGTGATCTAACGGAAAAAACGCTGCATTCCAAATAATGGATGAAAAGTTGTAGTGATTGAAAACCATTATAAAAAATAAAGTGTCTCACTAGCCCAAATAGGCTAAAAGAGGAGACATCATTATAGAGCCAAATCAACCTAAACGATACACCCAAGGGCTGAGGCTTGATATTTGCAAGAACAAATATGAGCACAATGGAGGAGCCCTGATCTAGGAGCCTCCTATTGGAGAAATTCTAGTAAATCAGGTAACCTTGAAAATTTCATACCAGCAGAGTAGGTTGTATCGTCTAGTATAAACCTTAGAACAAAATGGCTAAAGCCTTAAGTGCATATAATGAAATATGGGGAGCCAAATGAAAAAAGTACAGGATCCTCCCCTTAAGGGATATAAAAGATCTCAATTAGCACTCCACAAGTTCCTCCACTTTCTTTTGTGGCCCCATATGAGAAGATTCTAAGGAATATTCTCTTATTCTTACTATAATTTTTTTTCAATTAACCGAATAATCTGTGATACAAATTTAGACAAAAGCTTCAATTATCAAATATAATCATGCTTTACTTTATAGGTAGTTTTGCTAGGAACTTTGGAGGTTTGATGGTGGTTAATGATTTTCAGTATTGTTGGGAAATTTGTGGAAGTTTGGGGATGACAAGAACCAAATCTTAGTGTAGATTTGAAGGGTGGACAAGAGGTTGAGGGCTGTAGGGAATCATTTGATGGGCAAGGAAGGACAAAAGAGCTCATGTTTGGGTGGATTTTGGATAAATCGAGATTTGTGATTAAGGTATTCCTAAATAAGGAGCGGTTGGGTTAATGAAGGTCTGAGCATGTGGAATGATTTAAGGGCTTGGCGGAGAGTTAGGAAGGATGTATGTTGGTTAAGGGTTGTGCGCCTGACAGAAAGAGATAAGAGCTTAGAAATAACACAAAATAGATATGAAAGCTCTCTCATCAAAGAACTAGAAAGGACATTGCCAATTTCAATTGCATGCGAGCAACAATATTCAACAAATAATTGGTTCAATAATATAGTTGGTAATGTTAAGGTCTTACAAGTCAAAAAAGGAAAATTTGGCAACATTCTTGCTTTCAATCACCTTTTGTCATTGGAGAGGCCAACCAAGCCCAACTTTGGAAAGTAAAATAACTTTTTGACTTTTTGCACATGTTGTAATAAAAGGGGTGCGACCAAAGCCAAGCATTGACTAAATCCATCATGCTTTAACTCATGTGAAGAATTTCATAATGATCTTCATGTTTGATGCAAGGCTTTAGAGTGTCATTATGTAATTGATTTGTGTGCATTTTGGGGCTTAAAACTAAAAATGCTTTCAGTTTCTTTTTTGTTTATAAATTTATGGGTAACCAAAGACCATAAATAAGCAGTGAAAAGTAAACCAAGGCCTACACTTTAAAATAAAGCCACTTATGAATTGAAACAAAATTTCTAAAGAAGCGCATTAAATTGGAAGATTTACATACATACCACTCAATTCTAATGCATTTACATATCTAACACTTAAACTTCAATTTATACATATCTGCCACCATATCTATGCATCAAAAGGTATATTTCTCTTCTTAAAAGTCTAAATAGTGGTATTTTTTTATGTGATATGAAATATTTGGATGGTATAAATATAAAATGCAAACTTTAGGTGTTAGATATGTAAATACATAGGAATTGGATGATATGTGTGCAAATGCCCCTTTTAAATTTCATGCTAAACCACCTGTGATTAATGAAGATATAGAATGAGAAATGGGTAGATTCAAAGGAGTGCCAAAGCATTGCAAATACCAGAACAAAATGCTAAAGTTCCTACTCTGCATAAAATCTAATTTTTTTTATATTCCAGAGCATGAATTACAAACAATTAAAACCTAATTTCAGTTTTACCTGCAACGCCCAACTCAAATCCAATGCATTTTAAGAAATGAATTACCTTAATGAGTTCAAAGAAGGAAGCAATAACCTTGTCTTTCTCATGAGCTTGAGTTTGCGATTCAGCTCTTTCACGCCGGCTTCCCACTCTCATAATGATCTCGAGGACAGATCTCTGTCCTCTGTTTGTTAGCAGATCCACGAGTGTCAGAAAAAAATGGTGAAGATTATTCAGAGGCGATACGGATCATTCGCTTCTCATGTCAAGCGCAGCTGCGACGCCATATTCTACCTGATCTAAATGCTTTCCTACTTCTACTTCTCACTATTCAAACTTCCAAAACAATAAATCCTGTGCGAGCTTCCCAACCTTCTCATCTTGACGGAACTTCCTATCGTCCATCGGCTATTTGAGAAGAGCGTGTAAAGGAGAGTATCTCATACTAGATAGATCTGCAGGGTTCTTCATCGATCCACTGGATCGATTGTTGCGAGTGCTGCTTCTGGAGCTTGAGGTAGAGGTGAGGGGACAGGCGACGAAAGAAATGGAGGAGGAGGTGGAGTGCAGGACGCCAACGGCGGCCGAGGCGAAGATTCTCATTTCATTGGCGCCTCCACCGCCGCCGAGAAAGAGGCGGATGGAGGTTCCATCTTCCCGCCGGGATCCCGCGGGGCGAACCAGTGAGTTGTTCAATACGGCGGAGGTGGAGAAGTTCTTCGCCGGTACACTCTCCAGCTTCAGATCCATAGCGTCCGATCTAAAATGAACGGTGTTGGATTAACCCCTCCTACAAGGAGCTTTTTTTTTTTTTCAAGATTTACATAGACACATACAATATTTACATGTATAACATCTAAACTGTAATTTTTTTACATTCACGTCATTTTATTTGTGCATGAAATATACATGAAAATGTGCATTTCTTTTTTTTTTTTTTTAAATATGATATGAAAGATTTGTGTGCTATAAATGTAAGAAAATTTCGGTGTTAAATAAATATATGAGAATTAGTTTGGGTAATATATCTACATAAATAAATGTAAATGCCCTGAAAATATAATAAAATAATATATAATTCCATATTATAATAATATTTTACCATTGAAATTTTTTATTTATTTTAAATTTGTGTTATCAAAAGAACTTTGTAACTCAAATGTGCATAAGATATAATAATAATAATAATACTCCAAATATTTAGAAATTCTTAAGTCTTCCCCATCATGCAATGAATCTTCTATATATAATCCATGAAGTGCAAATAATCTTGTTATAATATA